CAGGGTGGATTGCTTCTTGGACAGTGCATATATATTACAAGGAAATTAATCACATCAATAAAGATGGAGTGAATTCAAGAGAGAGGCAAAGAGAGGGGCCATTAGGGGAAGGGTGAAGGTCTAAGACTAGCAGCAATCCAAGAAGAGCTGGGTAACCAAAGGGAGGTCTCCCAGGTGTGGGCAGAATGGATGGGACAGGTCTTACCCTCTTCATTACTCATACCGAAACACAAGTAGCATGAAGGCTTAATGATGGCATGGGAAGTGAATGGACAGGGGATAAGGAATAAATGTTTGGGATGGCATTAGACTCAAAATTAATGCTTAAAAGCAAGTGAAATACTATTAAACAACTTAAATCTGGGACAATACTAACATTTTAAAGGGGCTCACTATTGCCCAGACCTACAAACTGGGTAGGGGGCACCTTTGCCTGGTACAGTTTGGTGTCGGTGTGGTTGGTGGTTAAGTCTATGCTTTCTTGTCAAATTTGAATTCTTGTGTCAAAGCAGCACACACACAAAAACACAAGTGAGGACTTCTGGTCAAGATGGAGGTGTGGGTCGATACAATTTGCCTCCTTGCACAACTACGGAGAGAACTGCAACTACTTCTCAAAACAAATAGCCATCAGAACTGTCAGAAAATTGAGCTGTATGGAAGTTTGACAACCAAGGATTTAAAGGCGCCACGTTCATCCAGACAGGTAGGAGGGGCAGATTCACAGAGACACAGCGTGGCGTGGAGAGGGGGTGGTAGTAGAACTGAGGGTCCCACATTCACATGTGGCGGATAAAAATCAGGAGGGATACTTTGGGAATGAGTGATCCCAACCCCAAGCCAAACTGCATAGCCCAGAGTTTCAGTGCTGGGGAGATAAAGCCCCATGACTTCTGGCTGTAAAAACCAATGGGGGCTGAGGTGGCAGAAGTAACTTCCAGATTTTCAGGAGAGTTCATTTAGAGAGCCTACACAAACCCACCCACTCTGGGACTTACCACCAGGGCAACAGGTGGAATGGCACCAGTCACATCTGGGAAGTGGGTGAAGTGACTGGAAACAGGGTGAGTGTAGGGCAAATTTCAAGAAGCCAGGCAGCAGCATTGTTCCCTCCCCAAGCCCTCCCCCTACACAAAGCCACAAAGTAGTGAAGCGGGTTGCCCCACCCTGGTTGCCACCTAAGCCTCTGCCCCACACAATTTACAGGTGCCTTTTACAGGGAGTCAAAACAGCTCCACCTAATACCCAGAAACAAACACAGGGAGGCTGCCGAATTGACGAGGCAAAGAAATATGGCTCAAATGAAAGAATAGAACACAACCCCAGAAAAAGAACTAAATGAAACAGAGATAACCAACCTCTGGAGTTCAAACGTGGAGTCAAATGTGGAGTTAAATGTGGAGTTCAAAACACTGGTGATCAGGATGCTCAAAGAGCTCACTGAGTATGGTAAAAACATACGGGAAGAAATGAAGGTTACACTAAATGAAATAAAGAAAAATCTACAGGGAACCAGTGGTGGAGAGGATGAAGCAGAGAATCAAATCAATGATTCGGAACACAGGGGTAAAAAAAGCATTCAATCAGAAGAGTAGGAAGAAAAAAGAATTCAAAAAAATGAGGAGAGGCTTAGGGACTTCTGGGGCAACTTTGTATGTACCAACATCTGAATCATAGCAGTGCCAGAAGGAGAAGAAGAAGAGCAAGAAATTGAGAATTTATTTGAAAAAAAATAAAGAAAGAAAAATTTCCTAAGTTGGCAAAAGAAATAGACATGCAAGTCCAGGAAGCACAGAGAATACCAAACAATTTGGACTCAAAGAGCAACATACCAAGACACATCATAATTAAAATACCAAAAGTTAAAGGTAAAGAGAGAATCTTAAAACCATCAAGAGAAAAGCAGTGAGTTATCTACAGGGGAGTTCCCATAAGACTATCAGTTGATTTCTCAGAAAAAGCTTCTGGGAAGAGGAGGAGATGTCCCACCATGCTGTGTGTGGTGAGGGAGAGGCTCTGTCTCCTCCTCTGAGGACTTGGTCACGTGGCCTGAGAGGACACGAGGGTGCAGCCACGTGGTTTGAAAGGATGTGGAAGGTGCCCCCTGCCCCCCACAACCCATCATGAGGTCTGGTGTGCGAGGAGTTGCCACGTGGTTTTGGGTTAAGACCTGGGTAAGAAAGAGGAGACCTGCTGGGAAACCTGCCTGGAGAACACAGGCGGCATGGCTGACGGTGCTGGGAATTACGGGCACCTGCCCAACCAAACGTGGGTTCCTGGGGGATGCCCAGGATGCTCAGCTGCGACCGGAAATGCTGCCCCGTGGACTTCTGCTTTTCTGAAAGAGGTACCTTCGACTGGCATATTCTGAACCTGGCCTGGGTTGGCAAAGGGAGGCAGGATTGTGTGTTTTGGGGTGTTTTAAAGGAAAGTGGGACTTAATGGCAGAAATCTGCCCTTATTCTGAATCTGTATAACCTTTAAATAAACAGACCCTTTCCTTTGTCACCAAATTCTTGCATCAGGAGTCACACTTCTTGGCGGTGGGCAATCAGACCCCACAGCTGTTCCAGAACAGCATAGGTGGGGGTCTGTCACAAATTCACAACTATCAACAACTGAATCTAAAAAAAAAAAACCAAACTAAGGAAACAACCAGAACAGGAACACAATCATCAATATGGAGATCATTTGCAGGGTTATCAGCTGGGAAGGACAGCAGGAAGAATGGGGGGAAAGGTACGGAAATTAAGAATCATAATTGGTAGATACAAAATGGACAGGGGGATGTCAAGAATAATATGAAATGGAGAAGCCGAAGAACTTACATGCATGACCCACAGACATGAACTGAGGGTGGGGGGACTGCCGGAGGGAAGGGAAATACCAGGCAGAGGGAGAAAAAGGGGGAAAATGTGGGATAACTGTAATAGCATAATCAATAAAACATACTTTAAGACAGATAAGTGAGGAAAAGTGGTATATGGACGTACGCATGGCCAACATTCAGCACCTCACATGGGCCTGTTTGAGTGCTGGATGAAGGGAGCCCAGACAAACAAGACATAACCGGCTGATATGATCCGGCGTGCACTGGGGGCCAAGAGTCTCTGTAGATGCCTCAGTTTGGATGTGATAAGCATCATACTCGAAAATTAACCCTTGGCTTTTTTACAGGGAACACATACTTATAAAGTTTCAAAGGCAATTGTTTTTGTGAACCAGAAACCAAATGCAAGAGACACCTGGTGAATAGTAAATATCTAGACATTAAGAAATTAAATCTGAACACCTTTATCAGAGAGGCACCACCCAGTTCGGGTGAACAAAAGATTCATGGTTTTCTTTTTCTCAAAGAGTTCACTTCTGTGTGTGTTCTGGTTGTGCTCTTCTTTCAGCTGATAGTGGCTTTTGGTTACAAACTCTTATCCTTCTATCTTCTGCCTGCCTCACAGCTGTTTAAAGTTCCCATTGGCCACTGCTATTATCTCACTTTCAATTCAGCCATGAGACCCCGTGCCCTTACACAGACAACCCAACTGGAGAGCGCTTGCTTCTCTGACTGCTCCTTTCCTTCAGGAAAAGGCTCGTGCAACAAAGGAGGAGTGATACTGTTATGTCATTAAGGAGCTCCTGAAAATGCAACAGACCTGTCCCATGCCACAAAGGGGCCCTTGTGGGCTTGTTTATCTATAGGATGGTGAAAATCTAGGAAGTCACTTTGTTTGACTGGAGTGAAAAGCTTCAAAAGGTCTCAGGCACAGATTTGCTTTCAGTTGAAGAATTAAAAAAGATCAAAGGAAGAAAGTATCATCTCCAAATCTCACGTTCCTCCTTCTCTCCTGTCACCTCAACAAAAGGCATTAAGCAAACTCTGTGTAATTATTAACTGGTGGAATTTTTACAGTGATTTCCAACTAGAGTCTGCGATATTTATTGGCCTTTCCTATGCACTTGCCTCCCCCATCATTCTAGACCAGGAGTCAGTATTGCATTTGGCGGAGGAGGCCCTACCATATGGGTAAGAGGAGCGTGCATATTACACCTGTGTAGACCGGAAATCATGCAATATACTGTAAACAGTTACACGTGCTGATGAGACGAGGCTTTACCGACCAAACACTCATGCCACGGTCTTGCCAAATATTCACTGTAAACAGCTGCTTACAATCCAAGCCCCAGAACATCTGAGAACTAATTTTTATTTATTCAGAGGTTTTAAATCAGTGGAGGGTGGAAACTCGTGCTGGAAAAGTTGTGGATTCAGAGCAGGGCACACCAGCACCACTGCTGGGTGTGTCTGTGTGTGTGTGTCTCTGTGTGTGTGTCTCTGTGTGTGTGTCTGTGTGTGGTGTGTCCGCACATCTTTGTGTGATGTGTGAATCTGAGGGGTCTGTGTGTATCTCTGGGATAGTTTGTGTGTGGTGATGGGGAAGTGCTTGGATTGTAGACCTGCGCAGTAAGGCTTCAAGATGATAACACTTTTAGATCTTAGCTTATAGATTTGAGAACCCCTGATGTACATATGAAACTTAAAAAATGAAGCCTTTATTTGACCCAGCAAATTTCATTACAAGGCAGCTCAGATCACCTGAAAAACAGAATAAATTGAAGATGGAAAGATGTCTAGGTTGTGGCACCCCTTTTTCTAGAAAGAAAGAGAACATAATAATTCCCGATTTCAGTTCAGGAACTTCAAATTGCAGGGAAATGTAGGCCAAGGTGCCGGAGGTACACATTTTGCTCTGAGATACAGCATACGTAAGAGGCTTTTCACTAGAGGTGTTCGGATTAAGTCTCTGCCCTGGACCTCCAAACCCCAGCACTAGTCCCTCCCACACATACTGTTCAATGAGGATGTGAAGAACTGCTGCTCTAATGGAAACTCTTTCACAACTCAGGGCCCCCAGTCAAGGAATTTATTAACATGGTCACTTGGACATTTCAATGCTCCTTCCCAAACTGATACTGAGGACATTTTGCATTTCAACTATACTTACAGGGACTGAAGACTTCGCAAATTCTGTAGCGCTTCCGTGGGAACTTGCCTTAGGTGATTATTCTGCAGCATGCTGTGCATAAAACAAATAAAGAGAAATATTAAAGAAAGTTAACAATAATGAACAGTAACTGACCACAGCGGCCAGGTCCTGTTCTAGGTGTCAGGGAAACAGCAGAGAACAGACAAACCCTTGGCCCTTGTGGGCTTAAGTTTCTGTGGGGAGTAACAGACAATTCAAATGAATGAATCAGTATATAACATCAGACAAGTGAATAAAAAACAAAGCATGGATTCGGGATAGGTGGTAACAAAGAGAGAGAATTTTTTCCTAAAGGTGGTTATGGAAGGTCTCTCTTAGGAGCTGATGTTTGATTAGAGACCAGACTATCTGGGAGAGCTACTGAGGAAGTGGGAAGAGCAAGTGCAAAGGACCTGAGGTTGAAGCTTGCATTACTTGTTAATGTAGTAGGGGAGGAATGAGTGAGAGCAAGAGATTGGGAGAGAGAACCTGAGGCCATTGCACGGAGAGCTTGCAGGCCATGATGAACCTTTAAGTGTGTTGAGAAACTCTCGGTGAAGGGATTAAGTGGGAAATGATGTGATCTTGTTTACATTTTTAAAGGATCACTCTGGTGACTATATAGATTAGACAAAATGGAAATAAGAATAACAGTAGGAGGCGACTAAAGATCTTCTCTTTTCTTGTTTGTTCATGGTCATATTTTGATATTACACTCCTTTTGTGATGTATTTCCACCTTTGCTCACCTAGGTTCAACAGTTCTTTTCAGAACATGAGGACTACAGAATGGAGACACTTGGCAACAATGTAATAAAAATGTATGATTGCTAGTGGGGAAATAGCATGGAAAAAATTCCCATTAGATTCCTTATATTTTGCTACCTTATTCATGAAATAACACAATAATGTTGCAACTGATCCCATCCCCCTGAGTATTTCATGGCCCGAGTAAGCCGGAGGCAAAAGACTATTTTAGGAAAACAGATACTCTAAAGAAAATTTTCTGCCATATATAGGTCATAAACTTATATGTGGATTTCAGGAACAATTTGCCTAGTTCCCTCATCTGCTGAAGTTTCTTTTCAGTACAGGACTAGGATTCAGCTCCATGAATGTCTAACTCTTGAGGAATATCTGCTTACTGTAGAGTTCTCGGGCTGCATGGTATATCGTATGACTAGGGTATGGCATGGGTTCTTGAACCTGAATACCTCTTCCCTGTTACTGGCAGTGTGGCCTGAGGCAAATCACTGAATCTCTCCCAACCCAGTGACCGGTAATTACATCTACCTCCCACCAACCCGGGCTTATTGTGACCATCCAATGAGTTTAAGTAGAACAATACCTGCCGAATAGTAAGCAATCAATAAAGTTTGGCCCTTTGTGTGTGAATTGATGAACCCTTTCTCAAAACCAATAGTTGAATGAGATTGTACTGAATGTGACGTTTTAAGTGAGAAAAGAAAATCAGCAGCAACAACAACAAAACCCATGCCAGCAGTTCTCAAACTTTAGGGTACCTCAGAATCCAGCGAAAGGTTTAAGTCATGGTTTGCTGGGCCCTACCCCCACAGTTCACTGTTCAGTAGGTCTGGGTAGGGGCCAGAGATTTTGCATTTCCAACAAACTCCCAGGCTGATGTTGGTGCTGCTGGGCAAGGCAGCACACATTGAGACCCACCCTGTGCTATGCTAAGTGTTTCTGGTAGAATATTTTCACATGAGCTTGAGGCTGCACTGAGTTTGGAGATAAGCCTTACATTTTAAGTCTTGGGAAGCAAAGCATTTAAGCTCCCTGACTCTTGATCTTTTATCTATTTACTGGGAATAAAATAATATCTGATTAATAAGGTGTGTGGGAATTAAAATATAAAGGCTTTTATTATACTTTAATAAATACAAATATGAGCTCATATACAATAAGATATAAAAAATATTTGGAGGTCATAAAATGTATGTTTTTCTCACCACAGCTGTGATTCTGTTTTCTAAGGAATGTAATTGTGTCACTTGTATTCCAATAGTTTTACTCAAATAATTTCATTATGTTAAACTTGAATTCACTGACATTTCATAAATTAATGGTCTAAAAATATATTAATTCTTTACAAAGTCAAGTTTGAGGGAGATCTCACATTTCAATGGCTAATTAGAAATTTGGAAAAACTGTAGCTTGAATGCTGTATGTTGCATAATTTACCTGAACATCAAAAATTTACATTTCTGTTATTTTACATTTTTCTGAGCCATTTTGATATATGACTTTAACTTCATAGAAATGTTTTCTACATCATTCATGATTGAATGATGAATTTAGTGATGATAAGATACAAATATGAACTTAATCAATATTTAAACTTTATAGACAGTATATTGCTGGTACAAAGTGTACATTGCATTGTTCTTCTATACTTTGCTAACCAGTGAAAGTATTAATTTGTGGTCTTTCTAAAATATTATAAAACTGGGGTAGAAGATAGTAGATATTTAGATTGTTTTCCTTCATTAAATAGTTTCAAAATTTTTCAGCAACTTTATACATATGGCCTCAGAAAATGGAACTTAAACTTTACTAGTAAGTTTTAAAGCTACTTTTGACTTACTTTCCAAAAATTTAATTTTTTAACTAATGCTATCAGTAAAACACCAGAAATGTAATTTAAAAAAACAATTGAAGTCCTGATTTTTCTCTAAATAAAGAACTTTTGTTTAATGATGTTCAAATGACAAAACAAGAGCAAGATCTCTATCTCCATTGCATCCTTAAAAGTCTCCAGTGAGTTAATTAGAAAATTGTATTTTTGTTCAAGATATTCCAGTGGGAGACAAAACAATTAAAGCGTTTACAGCACCATGGAGTGCAATTAAAATGGAAAACATTTCCAACATGTCTGCTGATTTCTTTTGCAAATACTCTTTTATTAGTACATTGGATATAAGTAAAATGTACATGAGCTGAATATGGGTCTAGCCACTTACAGCCTCATTTTTTTTCATTCACATATGGGAAGGAAAACAAAATGAAACACTTTCTCTAGAGACAAAGGATGACTTCATAGCTTCTTAATTTCTTTCCCTGAAGAGCTTTAAAATATTCACTATTCCATACAACATCCCCGTGTGACTCCAACTGTACAATTTTTTGGTTTCCTTTTCTGCTAACAGGACTAAGTAAGAATATGGGCAGTGAGTGAAGCAGAGGGAGATGAGATAGTATATTGAATGAGGACTTTGTAACAACCTATGGCTTGATCCTTAGGCATTTCTTCTGCCTAATTATCCTGTGTGTAGGCATCAAGAAACGATCAAGGCTCTATTCTGGACCTGTGTGGGAATGAGGAAACTTTGGCTAATTGTGACCTTTCTACTGGTTGCTTTTACCCATTGCCTCTGCAAGGTTTGGTTCTGGTAGAGGGTGGTAGGAAAGGAGCCATTCCTTGACCAAATGACCACAGAACATGAACCTTTGTTGAAGACAGCATGGTTCAGAATCCCACTGGACTGGGTACTTTGGAATACAGAACCAATAACTTATTTTTTGTGAAGGTCAGTATTTATAGGGATAATAATCTTAAACATCAGCGACCTTCTAGAGTCACAGTAACAATTTGTTTATTAGATAGTCTGAGCCAAGGCAGCCGCTTCCCTCTGCATTGCCCATCTCAGTGGATTGTATCACTATCACCTTCCTCTTTTTTTAACATATGAGCTCCTTGCCCTCCTTATATTGGTCAGGGCCCCAGACAAATATTAATTTTATATTGTTTTTCTTGTCATGAGACAATATAATCAGTTATTTCCTCTTCCCATGACTTTCAGGCTTTATAAAACATTTGAGAGTTTCCATGAGGGTAAGAGCAGGTCTGTCTTGTTCAGCATTTTACTTCCAGCACTGTGGTTCTCAATGCTTTTAGACTCAATAATACTTCATCTATTATACTAGATAAAATTCATAAAAATATAACCTATCTACATATATCATTGAAAAGAAAAAAGTCAACATAGTGTACTGTTCTAACTGTATTATAAAGAAGAAATAAGAGTAATTTATAATTAAGTGATATATGTATCACTTTATACATGATGCTTAGATGTGACTATCCTAGGAGCATTTATCTGAATGAGTCAGATGACTGTCTGTACTTTTAATAAATAAGGTTGGGTGTGAGAAAAATAACATGATCAGAAGCTTTTCTGTACGAGAACAGGACAATGAGAACAGAGGTCTAGACAGATACTAGGGTAAGAAGTAGAGTTGAGATGTATCAGACTTCTGGCCAAGATGGAGGCGTAGGTAGACACACTATGTCTCCTCACACGACCAAAATTAAGGACAACAAAAATTTAGAAACAAAAAAAAAAATCAGAACTGACAGAAAATTGAACTGTATAGAAGTCCACAACTATTCATCCAGACTGGTAAGAGAGGTGGAGTCGGTGGCTGAGGGGAGAGGAGTCTCAGAAGGAACAGGTGGTGGCTGGTGGACCTGGGTGCAGGAAGGCAATGAGCAGACCCACTGAGGTGCACAAGGAAGCTGGCTGAATGCGGTCACACATTCGCGTGCTGATAAACCAGGCAAAACACAGGCAGCGAGACAGACCACACAACTCAGGGCCCTAGCACAAGGAAATAAAGCCTAAAAGCACTGATTGAAAACACTAGTGGGGGTTGAGGTGCTGGGAGAGATTCCCAGCCTCACAGGAGAGTTCATTGGAGAGACCCACAGAGTCCTAGAATGTACACAAGCCCACACACCCAGGAACCAGCACCAGAAGGGCCCAATTTGCTTGTAGGAAGTGGGAGAAGGAACCAAAATCCGAGAGAGAGCAGAACAAATGCTATTACCCCCCTCTGACCCCACCCCCACATATAGCATCACAACCTAGTCACTGGGTTTCCCTGCCCTGGTGAACACCTAAGGCCCTGTTGCTCATACCTAGCAAGGGTGACCAGACCAAAAAATTATGGCTCAAACAGAAGAACGAATTAAAGCCCCAGAGCCAATACTTTTAAGCAACCAAGAGATAGCCAACCTATCAGATGCACAGT